ATTGCTTTTTAATAATAAATTACAAAGAAGTTTTAATGTGGGAAGGAATTCTAAGACATTTCTTGCTTTCTCTTATAAATCATGTCAGCTAAATCAAGCTATTATTTTGGTGGAGTTATATCTTGTTAAGCCTAAGACGTGGCCATTTATGTTTGTATCTATTTTTCAGAGAACTCCCTCTTTTTTTTCTGAGAGAATAGCAAACAAAAGCAGAGTATTTACCTAACTTCCAGCACGTAGGTTACTGATAGGTAGATGTGAAACAAACTTGTCAGTTCCAAAGCACCTTACTGGTTGAACTAAAAAAGATCCAAAATCCTTCAAATCCAATAAATCAATAGTAGAACACAGCCCAATGTAATGACCAGGTAAATTGCATCCTTGGTTAAAAGTCATTGATTAAAAGTCATTGGTTGTCAGTACAGAGGCATATATGTATATATATACGTATATATATACGTATATACATGTGCTACTATTCTTGCATTGCTCTTTTTTGACACAATGGAAAAATGTGTGTTTAGAATACTGTCTGTTTGTGCTTCAGCTTGGCTACTTTCTTGAGAGTGAGAAAGGGAATAAGGGTGACATAATTCAAGTTCTGAAATAGCCTGAGAAATTAAATTTCACTGTATCTGCATTTCTGTCCTTGCTTCAATTAAATACAGACCTTAAATTAGAGAACTAAAAGAAAACTGAAACCTGAATGCAGAACAGTTCAAGAAATCTGGGAATGGCTGTATTTGTGATTGATTTCATTTGTTATACTGAGATCTAGAGGAAATGTTTGAGTTCCTCTCAATTCCTGAAACCTGAATTTCTTCAGAGTATGCAAAGTTTATTAATGGAAAATAGTTATGGGTCATTTTTACTGTATGCTGAAAATGTTCAATTCCTGATACACGGCACTGCATCATGTATTCTTTATTCACCAGGAACAATACTTGTATGTGGTTATCATACAGAAAATGAGACAGGATGTTTAGCAGTGAGTTAAATTTCCTTTAGTCAAAAAAAAAACCCTTGATTTTTTTTTCCATCTTTGAAATAGTAAGTAATCAGTACAGCTAACATCAAAAATTCACCATGCATTGAATATCCTGGTTGTTGCACATCAGTCAATAAAAGACAGCTGTCCCACTTTATTCTTAAGCTAAGGTCAGTACCATTGTTGGAATTTCTTATATCGTATGCATTTTCCTGTAGACTGCCTATTCCTTCACACCAGATGCCAAAGACTTAGCAAGGACTGCCTTAGAAGAACCCTTGGGCTTATTTTGTGTAGCAGAACTGGCTTGCTCTGTCCCATAATTTCTTCTCTGTGTTCAAAGGCCATAAATACAGGAAAATATCAATTTAATTTCTCCAGACTGTATTGTTTGCATCTCTATATGTGTTTCTCAAACATTTTGGCTAAAGAAGGCAGTGCTGTGAGACAGGTTAAGTTTATCTCTGATTTACAAGCACAACTTGTCTGGCTAATGTAAAATGATAACAAATTCATATCATGTAGCACCTGGATTATGAAAGAAAAATGTTTCAAAACAAAAAGATATTCCTAGTCTCAGGTGTTGTTACTATAAATCAAAGATAGACATCCATTTCAAATTAAAGGGTATATATTTTTTTAAGTTAATTCCCATTTAATGCTAAATGTGCATTTCTTACGAGGAAAGACATCTGTTTCATTTGGGAGGCAACTATAAAATCTCAGTATGTCCCTAAAGAGATATATTCACAAAAGTTTCTTCATGATTGCAAAAAGGTAAACATTCCAGGACCACTTAAAGTATTTCTAACTTTCAGAAATGCCAAAGTTGAGATGTACAAAGTTCAGAAATGTTTACTTCCTTGTATTCATTAATTCTGATACTTGTGGTAGTTAGTAGTTTATCTTGGTATTTTCTTGTCTGCTGCACTGCTTCATCAGCTCTATTTCATCAGATATAACTAATGTTTAGACAATAACTTCACCCTCCTAAGTACCAAGCCTACGAAGAGGTAAAACATCAACAAAAATAAGGACTAATAATAAATTAATTCATGACAGAGTTTGATTTGTTTTTGATGTGTTCAAAGAAGTTCCTTACTTTTACAGAAGATAATAGGACTAAAGGTTGCCCAGCATCTTGCTAAATGATCTGCCACATATTTCATTAAAAAAATTCCCCAAATATAAAAGAAGCATGAGCCTGTATAAGCTACATTAAAACCAGCCTCTGAATCTTAAACAGAAGTATGGAGTTGTATACAGTATTTCTGTAAGAAAATTATTGATTCTATACTACTGTATTTACTAATAGTAAGGCAGTTCTTAGCCTACAAACTTATTTGCAACCATTTTAAAGAGAGAAAAAAATAAGTGAAGGCAAGCTCTTCTCTCCTTTCTGTTTGTTGCTGGCTGTACTGCAGGAGAATGCAAATGTACGCAGATAAGAGAGTCTTGCAACAAGATCTCGTGGGAGGGATTTCCCCCCAGATCTTTTTGCCTCTGCCCACGTACTAAAACAGCGCAAATACTTTGTGCAGATCAGATCCTAGTGTGTGTTCCCCATGTAACACTTATCCAGAATTTTTCTTTGGTGGAATATAATGTTCCTTCATGTTTACCTGTGTAAATACCTGAAACCCTGTAGCTGAGAGGCAGCCCTACAGCTCTGCAACGTATATGTGGAAAATCAAAATGACTATAGTATATTTTTCCAAATGGTAATCACTTAGCTTTCTGTTTCAAGGTCTGTTAAAGCAGTTCATTTCGTGAAACCCAGCCCTACTGCACTTGAAAAGCACAGCAAGCACAGAAGCGTAACAACTCACCCGTACTTTTAATTGATCTGGTATTTCTACAAGGTGCCACCCTTTTCCACACCTCCTACCTCCTCCTTAAGTGACTCAGCCTCTGAAGGAGAAATCTCTTGAGTTTTCAGACAGCTGGATGGAGAACAACAATTCAGCTCTCTGTCTGCTTTGACTGTGCCTCACTTCCAGCTGTCTCCAGGTTGACTAACCACACTGAGCCACGCTAGGACACTAACTTCTACCATACCTAGGTAAGGATGTTTACTCTTCTGGCTTTATATAACATGTATGGAAAGTCCTACATTTTCAGATGTTCTGTGACTTCCTAGTGTCCAATTCAGGATCCCACTTCAGAGAATCTGATTTTCAAGAAGTGTGGAGAACTTGTCCATGAAAATCCAGGTCTAGAAGTTTTACAGTTTGGGTGTTCAGTTTTCCCAGATCTTGCTGACTTCTCCTGGCTCTACGATCTCAATTACTTCATTATTTACATTATATTGCTAATTGCATTTTATTCTAGTGCTAATTCTCTGATGACAAACTCACTATTCAGACCACTTTTCATCAATAGCTATTTAAATGTTAGTTTTGCTCTTTGGTTAATTTTATTGTTAGTTTATTCTTTCTTTGTAATTTTTATCTAAAATTAAAGAGTATTTACTCTTTTCTCCTTTACTTGAATTTGCTTGAAGTTTACTATTTTGGCAAAAAACAGTTAGCAACAGTTTGCTTTCATTTGCACCTTTGCAAAAGGAATAGCATTCTACTTCAATACAATGACTTATCTATACAATTAGCTGAACCCATGTATAGACAGGATGTGTTCTTCACCAAAAATCTAGGAAAATGAATGACATAGTTGAATAAATAAAATTATTACCTCCTCTTCTACACTCTATTAAAAAAAAAAACCAAACCACTACATCTAAAACTGATCATGCATTTCTAATTTGAAAATACCTACAGATTTGTGTTCTGACTTTGCAGCTGATTTTAATGACAGTTCCAAAGCTTCTTTCAAAACAGAATCTCCTCCGCCCACATCTTGTAAAACCAGTTTTGAGAGCTCTTTCAGCTACAAAGATGAATGATTTCTGTCATACATTCATGTGTTCTCTAGTCCTACCTTGCCTATTCCAACCTTGCTTGTTTCCTCTTTTACACATATACATGTTTTTATTTTCTGTGAGAGTTGCTATTAATTCTGTGGCCAAAACTGTAAAGTAAAATAATCATTTAAACCCAATGTATTAATTCCAGAAGTTAACAAATATATTATATGGCTATTGTTCTGATATGTAACTCTTAGGAAAAAAAAATCAATCTAGGAACATACTTTTATTATTCTTTAATGTCTGTAAAATAAATTTAGTTATTTTTAAATGTAATTTCAGCAAAAAGACAAAAAGACCAACTAATTGCCAAACAAATAGAATCACCAGTGGCAATTCTTTAGGGAAGAAAGTAGAGAATCAGTTATACATATAGACCTGCACCTCACAGAGTGGACCTTTAATGTTATTTGAAGAGATCATATTCTCATCTGAAATAACATGTTTGGATGTATGAAGGATGGCACAGCATTGACTGGCTCTGGCTGTGATGGTGATTTGCAAAACAATCTTTTTTGGAATCAAAGAACACAAATTCTTACTTGAGTTTAAGTATAGGTAGCCAGATTTGATAGCCCAGTCACCCCACTTTGATATCTGAGAGGGGCAATGATGGATGTAGAGAACAGCAAAATTGGTATTGACTTCCAAAGCAGAAAGATTTTACCTCACACACCTATGGATCCCTATCTAGAAGAACAACTGTAACGATGTGTCTCCCCAGTGCCTTAGTTTTAAGGCTTGGAGATCTTCATCCTGTATAAAGTCAGAATTACTTTAATCAGTTGCTTGCTCACACTTACTGTATTCAAGAGAAAGGATGGAGAAAATAAAAAGGTTTGCTGACATGAAAGGTGTTAAGTGAAAGCAAGGAAATACTGTTGTGTGTTTCATAATTGTAATTAAGACCAAATGTGTTTTTTTTTAAAATGTCGTATTCTCCACAGTCATCTCATATAAATGAAAGATAAGCCATGTACTATAGAATTAACATTAAGGGTTCAATGGAAAACAAAGCAAATAGAAAAGTAGAGCTGAAGTAAGTCTTCATTTCTAATGGAATAGGTCTAAAATTTTGAGCTCCACTCAAATAAGCTGAATGTTCAGCTTATTTCAGAACAGAATATTTCTTCAAGAAGATGAAATTTTCGTGGCAAGTTTCATATTTGGGGTAAACAAAGAAAAAAGTATATACGTCTATTTTCTTTTCCATATGGCAAATATTAGATACTTTTGAAAAGCTGGAACTTGAAGGACATGTAGCAAACAGTAGTCAGCAAGCTGTGGTCGTGTAAAGCCACATATATAAGGAACCTGTTAGTTCCAGCTGGTGTTTCATGTGGACACGCCAAACTCAGCTGCTTCTTTACAGTCCAGGCTGCTTTAGCAATGCAGCACGAGAAGCTGGATGTCAGGAAAATTCTGAAACATTTTTGTTTTAAACTGGTTGTTCAGTTACAACTTTTTGTATTACCCAGTTAATTACTAATACTGGGAAGTTTGACATTTTAGGCATTTGCATTTGGCAAAGCTTTATATGAAAAACCTCAGCATAAAAAAAAATGTTTTGACTTTTATGAGAAGAAAGTGTCCCTCTCACATCCCTCCTTCAACATTTACTATGCTGAATTACTTATTATACAGTATATATGCAGTGCTTCTTGTGTCTAAGCTGTGAAAATAAATACTGTTTATTTAAAAAAATGCATATAAACAGAATATTTACAAATAAGGTCTTAATCACTGTCTTAGCTAGAAGCCAAAGAACATAGACTAGTTTGTTCCAACTAGTTTGGTCTGATGTGGAAAACATGAATCTTACAGGAGATGCTTGTATCGTTCTTATGTATTTTTTAAATACAGCTATGCATATATATGAAGCCTCATCAAATAGGAAGCTACAGCCAAGACCAGAAGGAGGGCAAAAGGGATCTATGAAGGAAGAATGGGTGTGTTCAGACTATCTGAAAACTAGAAGATCTAGCTTTCAGAATTTAAGGCAGGCCTGAGGTATTCTGCTGATCAGTCACTGCAGGAGGTGGAAAGGAGACGTAGAAGTGTGAATATAGATATTTGTGATAAAAATAGGATTAGAGACCTGTGTTGCTTTTGGAATAACTTCCTTCAAAGTTGAAGGGGCATTTGACTTTCCCTGAAGTTATGTCTGAAGTTTTTTCTGAATTTCTTTGGAATTATATTTGGGTTTCTCCAAAAATTGGTGCGGGTCTGAATCCAGGACTGGCATGTCTTAAAACCATTTGGGAACTGCTCACTGGACTGGCTGGGGCAGTTTTAATTTCCTTTAAAGTTTCCTGACGCTGTTTTTAAATTCAAATTACACTGGAGCTGCATTCCTGTTTGTTTTTGTTTTGCATTCCAGCTGAGTTGTTTTGCTTCAGTGGTTGAGATCCTATTAAGAATGCCTGAACTAAATTTACTACTATAGTATACTATAGAAACCTATAACTCCTCTTTCTCACAAAAAACTTTTTTTTAAATCTGCCTATGGGCTGAAGATAAAATGTTCACTGACCTGTGTGAGCAATGTGACAGTTTCACATCTTTATTAGCTGGCATTTTTAAACTAATGTGATCTTAATGTTTTGTCCATTCTCCTTTCCAAATAGAAAGATACACACACAGAGTTCAAAAAATGCTTTGATGAGCTGTATCCTGCCTCTTTATGCACGAATCTTTTAATTTCTAAGATCCTAAAATTTAAGTCTTACTCTGATGATTCTTGATTGTCTGTGCTCCAGACTGAAGTAGCTTTTAATTTGCATTTTAAATTTTAATGGATCAATCTTTGATATACAACTTGAAAGTTCAGAAGCACGAAGCAAGCCTTGAGGACAATATGGCAGTATTCCGTAGGACTAAAATGCCTAGGTTTAAAATTTCAGAATAGCTGGAACATTTTCAGTCCTGACTGTAAAAGGGAGTGTGGCTGGATTTTATATTCATTTATGCATACTACTTTTGGGTTGGGAGACTAGGTAGCAGTTTATTCTGGATGCTGTACACACGTGCAACAGAAATATTGTTTTGCTCTTAAACCATTAAAAAATGAATATGACAAGAGACAAAACATAGTTTTAATTAAATTAAGGGGGATGAAAGAAACACGCTGGACTTTCTTTTGTCTTGCATGGATACAACTAGGAGTTGCAAACCCGCTTTATAGTCACTTTTCATGATCTCAGTGTCATTAATGCATTTGTAGTAATCTGTAGATTTTAAAGACAAGCCTCAAAATGTATGGATTTTTTACTTTGGCCATAATTTTTATTTCAGAACAAACACCTGAGGTTTTTTTGTTTATTTCTAACAAAGGTATATGATACTTCCTTGTTAGTTCTGTGAGAAATTTCAGTTTCTATTACAAATATATAGCAAGGAGGGCTACAGTCTAACATGAAGTCTACATAGCAGTTTCCTGTTATTTTCAGTACTCAATATTTAAATTGCAAAATGTGTATTTTAAACAAGATCTTTTAAGTCTTAAAATTATCTCATTTCACTTAATTTTCACAAAAGAAGTCTCCTTTTTCAAAGTTTTACAGTTCATTTCCCTTAGCAAATGGCTTTAAATGTACTTATTAGAAAATAAATCCAAATTCCTTCTATAGAAACTACTACTTCTTCTTGAGGAGAAGAAGTACTAGTTCTCATTGCTTACAAAATATTCTGAAATATCAAATATTATCCCAGGACTGACTGACTGCATCAGATGTACAGCTGTTGCTAAGCTGAGAACATAAATACATCAGAGACCTCTCTACCATCTTGGGACAGTTCAGGAAAATTTATGGTGAGAATAGTCACTATCTAAAACTCATTCTTTAATAACCTACCTGAACAGTTTCTAGGAAATTCAGTGCATATATGTTTTAAACCTTCTTATATAAGTATTTTTAAAAGATATTTTATAACCAATTGCAAAATAAATACGGCTCACCATAGCCCCGAGCAAATTTTTATTGTGTGGGAATCAGATCCAGCAGTCACATGTTTTCTACATATACTGTGCCAATGCCTGTTTGATACCAACACCTAAGCTTAAAAAAACAAGAATGTGGGTTGGAGCTTTCCAATCAACATGCCAGAATTTTAAACTCCAATAAATATCTGGAATTTCACAACTATGTAAGATACACGTGAACTTTTATACTCAAATATTATTTGCTTTTGCTAGAATCCAAAATCTTCTTCCCTTCCCATCTGTAAAGAAAGAGCCACAGTCTCCAGTCTCAATCCACTCTATCTTAGGTGTGGGAGCAATACACTTTACATCTGCAGTAAGAAAAATACAATAGCTGTGTCACCCAGAGAATTGGGAACGTTTCTGATTTTTAAGGGCTGCTGCTGTCACAAAAACTGTTTTCTAGTGCTTCTGTAAATCTTAGTAGTCTGACAGTGGAATTGGTTGGCAGCTTTCCATCTTAACATTGTTTTCTTGGAAAACATTGCTTTTTGAAAAGGAATCCACTTGCTAAAGAAGGTCAGTTTTGGCCACACCCTTAAGTCAGTGTCAGCATTGAGGTTTTTTAACTTAAGGGAGAATTTTTTGTTATTGAAATGTCATTATGTTCTGCTTGATGCTTTCTCTAGGAAAGCTGGTATTCACAGTCCAGTTTCAAAGGAAAACATGAAATCTTTTGAGTGGCTCAACTCCCAAATAATTGGTTGGTTTTGTTGTTGTTGTTGTTGTTTTAAATTGGCAGTCTTGGAGGCTCATTTTTTTAACCTGATTTGAGATAAGGGAAGAAGTCAGTGAATGGAAAACTGTTGCAGAGCAGAACTGTCTCTGTCCTGGCCCCTTGCATTAGCTGCTGATCACTGTAGCTGTGAGACCCATCAGCAGGGCTGGGTAAACCCACCTGTGCTCCAGGTGCCACTCTGAGCCACTGACTAATACTGTTTTCCCATTAAGCTTATCACCTCACATTCTTCATTACTCAGTGTTGCCCTCCGAAGGCTATCACCACACCGTGTGTTCTCAGGGAAGATGCTCCCAAAAAGGGAAAGAAAGGACAGGCACTGTGAAAGGCAGAGGCACAAGGCAGGAGTACACATAGTCATTACTAGGCAGGGAAAAGCCACCACTGTGCCGCAGATTCGGTCTGAGCAGGGCTGCAGCCAGCACTAAGCCATTCCACCCTGTCAGACTAATGTACCTCCTTATGCAAGGAGGTGGTTGAAGTGGACAACAAACTTGAGCTGTTTTGGGGTCTGATTCCTAATATCTTCTTTTTTTTTGTCGTGTTTCCTTTTAGATTCCTAGAGAAGGACAACATACCACGGAACAAATGTCAGCTTTCAGTATACAAAAACAGCCTCCAAATCAAAGCGGTAATACCGAGTCTTCTCCATTTTCTGCTCCCAGGGCACTTGGAGGCTGAGGCGTGGCCTTCCTCCTTTCTAAGTATCACCATGCCCATCCCTCAGCTCCCTCACTGGGCACACCGCCACGTTTTGGCAGTGACAGGATGGTTATTAGTCACAGTGCGACCCGCTTCAGATGCCAGACTATTGGTGTTGTGCACAAACTGCCGCTGGCCGGGATTCAGGCCAGAACATCCCACTGAGCAGTGTTGTGTGGTGGAGTGGGGGAGTCAGGTGGTGTGGTGCAAGGTGGTGATTCCCCATGCCGAGGGCTGTGGTTGTTGTGGAAAGCCCACAGGAGCACAGCAGTTGGAAGGGCAGTGGGCAGATTCATTGATCTCAGCACCATCTCCTTGACTTGCTCAGGGAAAATGAGGAGAAACGGATGAAAATTAGAACAGGACAAGGGGAGAGAAAAGCTTTTTAATCATTGTCTGATGGGATTGTTTGTTCCTCTGGAGGGACAAAACTTGAGGAGGGCTGGAGTTTGCTTTCTATGCAGAGAAATGATCAGAGGCAAACTGTAAACATGATGATATTTCCCATTTTCCTGAAACCTAAAAAATACTTCTGAAGACCGAAAGGTTTTGAAATGCATGTGGATCTGGTTCGGGTGGGATGTGCCAGGCCCAAGTACACCAAAATTAGTGCAGCCTCGGCAAGGAGCTGCTTGGCTCTATTGTGTTGAGGACATAAACTTTTTGCTGTCAAATTAAGACAGGGACAAGCTGTATCTGTCTGCACTCACGTGACCTGAACAGTTGTATCAGATCTACGTTTAATTCTTTAGTTGAAGCTTGGGAGAAAATTCATTAGACCAGAAATCAGTACTCTTCAGCAAAGCCAGGGCCTCAGGCAGCAGCAAAATGCTTGCAATATTTCTTGACAAGAAAACAGTGTATATCCCTTGGCTACTGCCTTTATAGGAGGTTTCTCAAAATTTTTGCACCAAACAGTTTAAAAAGCCATGATTTCTGTGAAACACAAATGATTTTTTTGGTAGGTGATAACAACTTTCTTAAATTGCTATTGGAAAAAGGTCAATATGTCACATACATGGTTAATTTTAATAGTTGGATATACTTAGTACTTCTTGATTATATAGAAATGTTTATGTCATGTTCATGTCATTAAGGTTTTTCTTCAAGATTCTGAGGAGGTTATGGCTGACAGCAGAACAACACAGATTAAAATGCATTGGAAACAGATCAAAGCATCTTTGGCTAAAACTATTAGAATGAAAAGAATGCTGGAATCATTTCCACCCCTTTAGCTGCCATCAGCTATCCTTACTGTAGAGAAGTTTTCTCTCTGGAATGCATAAACTTGAGCTCACATTTTTCCTACTTTCGAAAAATTAACTTTTTTTTTTCCCTCCAATACAAATGATTGTACCAAATTAAAAATACTTAAATATTCATGAGAATGGAAACGTATACATTTTTAGAGCAAAAACACTTCATATGAGCTTGTTGGCTAATTAAAACTATCTTCATTCTTGCCAGTGACTATGAGACGATGTTATTGTTTAAACTGGTGAAGGTCCTTCCTCTTTTTGGTTTGCAGGAATTGTTTATTTTAGCAGATATTCTAATGAACCACTGGAGGTATTCAGACAAGCCTGGGATGCCTTCATTTTTTGAAGTCTTTAAAGTCAGATTTTAACAAATCTTTTTAAGAGAAGAACTAGTTCAATTGGCAGTGAACAGGCTAATGCAGAAATCATGAAGTAAGGATAGAATACTTTTTGTTAATCTACCGTGACTGTTGGCACATTCTTAAAAACATCATCTTTGATGTCCCTGGTCCTTTGTCAAAGGGCTGCATCTATGCTGCTCGAAAAAAGAAAGCCAAACCTTGTCATCAAGGCCAAGAAACAGAAGCACATATCGGTGCTATCACAGCTGTGTTTCTTAAACCTTTGCCACTTCTCCAGCAACTCAGTCTTGGGGAGAGCAAGTCCAACACAGAACCAGAGAACATTTGCAATTAAGCAAACATGATTGATGAGTCCAAGCCTTTCATTCCTTCTCTGGCCTTCTTTCATTTGGCAGTATGGACATATGTACAGTGAATATAAACAGATAAGAGCAGACACATTTTAAGGTACAGTCAGATATACATTTTTAGACTGAATTTTATCTTTGTACTGCAGTGTTTTTCTTTCATGAGAAAAATGTATTTAAAAAGTCAATCTTGACAATTGTCACTTAAAATAAATGTTTTGGTGCTTTTTTTGTTATTTCATCTTCCACTCATTGTAGCCATTTGTCATTTTTTAATGTTATCACTACAGCTGAAGTTCTTGTATTAAAAGTAAGAACTACATTTTCTTATAAATCACAGCAGAATGCCAAAACACATCTTTGACAAATGACATATTACTGACTGCATGTATTTTCTGTGGAGCTTGGTCTTTCTATACACAATCTTTAGAGTCAAATGTCCTTGCTGAACATCAGACAGTGATGTTTCCTGAAATCTGATGGTCTTGCACTCCTTTTGCATGAATGCTCAGAAAGCGAGGAATTAATGTATAAAATCATGAAGGTGTCTAAAGGAAAACCCAAGAAACTTTGTATTTTTCATCATTAATTTTACTGATTATTTGGATGTATTAATAAAGGTTTTGCATATTTAATTTTTTTTACTTCTTTTGACTGGAAAAACTTGGGGTAAATATTGCAAATAAAAAATGGAATTTCTATTTGGTCTGAACTTCTAGCTTTTCATTTTAAAAGGGAACGTTAAAATATCACAACAATATTTTCTCTCACCTCAAACAGGCTGATGATATGAAACTTAGGTAGGAATAAAAGAACTGAGAATGCTGGACAGTAGTCATTGCATATTTTTTTCTTGCAAAAAAGGGCCAAAATCCTCATAAAAGGAAACCAAAGGAGATAAACATCAGCTTTCTAATGCAGAGAGGAATCCAAAATTTCCCAAATCAAGTCAGTATCATACTGTTAGTTCTTCAATATACTAAATATTAGCATTGTTGGGCAAAGATATTTTAGGTTGTTTTCATAAGTAAATAAGGCTTCTGTGTTCATAAGGCACGTGAGTGTGCATGTCTGTCTGTCTCTCCCAATAACCTTTGAAACTGTGCACCAATTTTAGTTAAATTTGACGTAAAGATATAGATCTTAAAGGTGTTGCTTTTATTAAAGTTCAGTAAAACTAAGGAGCTCATTAGAAAAGAAAGTCTGTTCATTCAGCCATTAAGGAAAAAGCTTCAGAGGGAGTCTGACATTTTGAGAAATGTGAAAATCCACATATGTTGGGCTGGGTGTAGCTGGAGGACCATGTGGTCAACTCAAGATTAGCTTTCATTCAAAATTTGCATCCTGTCACACATCTGCAAATATAAAACCCATAGACAACACCCCAGGAAACAGGATTCATTAGTTTGACTTTCCTGGGATTACTGTGGTATGCAAATTTCATAATTCCTTTATCAGATCTGTGAAATTTGTTTACATTAAAAATATACAAAACTCTTTCATATTAAGGATGAAACTGATTTAGTTTGGTAAACTGGCTTCTGCAGTCTTTTCAAGGTTGAAGCCACAAACTTATCAGGGAAATAATCTTCACTAAACAGGTGTGATAACTGAAAATTCAATTTGTGTTAAACTTTTACATATTTTAACCTTTGTAATAGTACTCGAGGTTTCCAAAGTTATTCCACATGTTCATTTTCAAGACGTGTTTCTCTGCATTTGCAGATAAGAAGAGCCCCTCTGTTGCAATTAAAAGCAGACAACAGGCTTCTCATGATATTAATAAACGGCGGACACTTTTGCAAGATAACAGCTGGATAAAGAAGAGGCCTGAAGAGGAAAGGTAAGAAAAATATGAAATGCATTTGTTCTGCATTTCAGTATGGCATGTACATTTTCTTGGAATATCTATTTTTGGATGGATGGTATCAACCAGAATTAGATTAATTAAATAATTCTTATTTATTTATCTTGATGAGGTATTGATTGCCTTTTGAAAGTATTAGTTTGCTGAATATTCATTGTTTGTCATTGGGACTTTCAACCTCTGAGTATTTAATGAGGTGCCAGGTTTCCGCTCTATGAGAAAAATCCCACATTTCACATATTTAGTTTGTAAGACTATGATTTGAATTTTTACAACCATGAAGATTATAAACCTTGGCAAGTTTTTTTAAGGAGCTTTAGTCAGAATCAGATTAAGTTTACTCTAATATAAACTAGGACTTGCATTACAGCAGAAAAAACACCTTGAGACCATGCCCTCATTATACAGTCCATGAACAGCTTGTAGGAAGAGATAATCCTTACTCCAAAATGTCTGAAGTCTTCTACTGCAGAGATCTATAGCTGAGGCAATCACAGTGGTAGTGGACAGCTGTGAAATCTGACTGAAGACAAACCTTTTGCCAAGAAAAAGTTCTCTATTTTTAATACTTCATTTTTAACTAACCATTGTTTTTCTTTCTCTCGAAGTGCTGATGAAAACTATGGAAGGGCTGTGCTTAATCAATACAAATCCCAAGATAGTCTACACAGGTATGGTAGAGTATCTTAACACCTTTCTGATAATATTACCAAAGAAATCTGTCATTATATCCTGTTTATAGCAAGAGCTTGCTTTATTCAGTTTTAGTCTATACATATTTCCACTGTAAATCCGACTCCAGTGTCAATAATTCTTAAGCTGATCACTGCAATGAATGCAGGGTTGGATCTATTGACACCTGGATGATCAGAAATCCTGTATGATACTTTAATTTGAGACATAGATACTGGTTTTTTTGTGATTAATTGTTTAATAAAAACAATGACAAATGTGACATTTCTAACTTTCTTTTACAGTAGTAGCACAAATGAAAAGGAAGGTCAGACAGCTGTACTTGGACGATACAGATCTGATACCACCTTGGACAGGTGTGGCTTTTTTCTGGATGTATTATATTTTGTGATTCGCATACCTGTGAGAGGTCTTAAAAATGAAAGCATCAATGAAATCAGTGGGTCTTTAAAAGTTTTGTTATTTATTAATCATCTAATTAAAAAACTTTTTATGATTCTTGCATGAATTTTCAATGAGGCAAATGGAAATGTAATTTGAGAGAAGGTTCTTTTGACATCTTGTTCTTCTTTTTTCTGTAATAATTTCTGTGTATTCTTGTCCTTATAACCGTATGTATCTTTCCACAGATGATAACCATTCCTTCCCAATTTTTTGTTTTTCAAACTATGGATCAAAGTCGTGTCTCCAATAGTTAAGCACAACATGGCTAAACCTCTTGTTCTTTGCAAATCCTCTCTGCCACTTCATACCATGATCAGTACAAATATAAGAATCATATGCTTTTCATGTAATTTGAATGTTCTGTTCAGCCCTGACCTCTGTTAAGACATGACCATGTTAGTGTTTGCAGATTCTTTCTGCGTTGCATCTTCAAAATCCATCCCTCCCATTAACATCTGCAATCCAAAACATGCTGATGCTATGAGTACCTGCACATAAACACACACTGTGGAAAACGTGCACTTGTTTGGTTGTTTCTTAGCACCGTGTTATTTTATTTCATGACCCTTGCTACTGCTGTAAGATACAATGCAAAATTGTTAGATAAAATTTACCTTCTCCACATAAGGCTAGAAAAGAATAGGCTAGAAACCTGTGTGGTATCATACCCCTGTCTATTCACCCCAGTGAATCCTGCTGTATTTGTTCATTCATCATGAAGAAGCCATTCTACAACTTCAATTTACATATTGCTCTTCTCTGTATCTTTCATATTTCCATATTAGTCTTTTTGATCTGGGGATCCAGATCCTGATGCACATATTTAAGATCTATGCACACCTTGTACATACACAGAGGAGTATAACAACGACTTCTGGTTCATTTGCTTTTCCTTTCCTTGTACTAAATAACGTTGAATTTGCTCTTCACTGTTGAGAATTGAGTTTTGATTTTCATAACATTACCTATATAATTGCAAGATTTCTTTCCTTAGTAATAATAGCTCATTCAGAGATCAATTGCTTTTCTTGGCAGGCATTACTTTGCATCTAAGAAAAGTGAGCATCATCTGCCATTCTAGAAATCTGACATATTAGCAGATGATTTCTGAAAACTTTGCCAATTGGGATTTGTTTTGACTACCATGAATCAATGACATTGTCAAGCAACATCATCTCACTCTTCTTCTTTTCCAGATAATTCATGAACATTGGAAAAACACAGGTCTTATACAGCTCTCCTTCCACTCTGAAAACTTGCTGTTTATTTCAAATCTTTCCTACTTTTTAAGCAGTTATTTATGCATGGAAAGTCCTTCTCCAATAGGAGATCAGTTTATTTAAGGGCACTTAAAGCAAATTTCGTGAAGCTTTTTGGAAATTTGAGTAGAATATATCAGCTATGTCACACTTATTCATATGCTCATTGACTTCCAAACAATTTTTAAGGTTTAATTTTCATGCATCAAACTCTGATTACTGATTTAGGAGTCATAAGACAGTTCCAGTTTCTACAGTGTCACTGAAGACCATTGTCCTTTTGTACTCTATATCTTTTTGGTTTATGCTGATATATAAAAATGTCTGAATTATTTGAGATTGTAAGGTGTCTTTGTGTTTTCATATACACAAATATCTAACATAAAGGGTTCTTAAAATGTAAGTGATGAGAGAGAATACAAAGAAAGGATTATAGGTGTGAATATACAGTTCTGATAATTAGTGCAGAATATGTCCATAAATGGACTGAATAATGATGCTTCTATCTTGAAATTATCGCAATGAGGAAGCTGCTGTCAAGTTGTTTATTTCTCTTCAGTCATCAATGGTCTTCTTAAAACTGTGAAATACAAGCATTCCAGGATTAATTTGTGCACACCTATTGCCAGAAGGCAGTTCTGTAAGGGGTGACCACATATTCTGCAACTCCTCAAATTTCAAACCTAAGGCATAACAGGGTGTGGTGACGTGTTTTCACTTAGTACCTTTTTTATGGTTGAATTTGGTACTTCTGCTTCCTCTGTGAAGGATGTTCTCCACTTGGTACAATTCCCTTACTTTCTTATAAATTATTTCTGGCAAGCATAGCCATAGTACAGAAGTCTTCCAAGCTTAGTAGTTAGCAGTTTGCAGAACAGCTATATTGTTTATTACCTCTGTGAAAAAGCAGCATTCTTTTTTTTTTCTTCAACAGTAAAAGACAGAGCTGAAAATAGAGCATGTTTCTGGAATGTAGAAAAAAGTTCAAAGGATTGCTCCTAGTAGGTGCTTCTAGAGAAAAATTACATTGATATTGGAGATCTGTTGGATTGGAGAGCAGTTTACAGAATTATGTCATGTTGTCTTTATGGAAAATTATTTTTGCCTAGCTAAAATTCTGTAAAATGACAGTCTTCTATTCTGCAAGGGTTCTTTATGAGTTACCTGTTTTCAAGCTAGATACTAGAACATCTTTTCACAATTCTGCTTTGCAACTCTTCTAGCCATGACAGCAATATTACAAAAGAAAAGGTTTTAAAGAATCTGGATGAATATCTCTTAAATAGCTAGTTTTCAAAATGACAAAATAATAATTGAAATTTGAATTAAGAAAATCTTTGATGACTATAGGAATAATTTTGAGTTCTTCATTACATGTGTAAATGTGCAAGTAAAAACATATCTAAAAGCCATATTAAGTGCCGCCTTTTGCTTCCTGGATACTGCCATATCCATGTTCATAAAGGGAGTTTTTTTATATGAATTTTGCCTAACCCAGTGTTTACAAAATTCAAACATCATTTTCCATATTAAGGACCTGGGAGAGATGTTACAGGTGACTATATGCAATTACACCATTGACTGCAAGCACAAGAAAACATTGAACACTATTAAGTTGTTTTCAGAAATCCAAAGATTGATGACAGTAGATGCACACGTACTGGCATGTAGATTTACACTGCTCCTAACTCAGACAACAATTGCTTTGCGCAGATGACAACAGACAGACTTTCTGGATGGATAGAAAAAATTTATTTATCCTTTTATTTCTCTCTCATTATTAGCAACTAACTAAATATTTGACGAAAGAGGGGAGAAAACTTAAAAGTTAGATAGTGACGAAAATTACATTGCTGTTTTTTTCAAGTACTAAATCCTAAGTACATTTATAGGAATTAGATCTGAATAGATAGGACTGAAGCAAATGAGACACTTTCATTGTACACTTTATTAATAATGTAATCCTTTGGAATGGTAGAATTTATTAGGAAAGGACTGGAGAGCAAATCAGAAATCACTTTAGTATGTGGTTTGAACCTGCTTTGAATATCTTGAACACTGCATGCATCATTTCACTTATGTGAAGAAACTACAACAGAACCACAAAAAAAAATTAAAGAAAAAGGTGAGAAAGTATGGAATAGTTTTCATATGCAGAATATCTGAAGAGACAAAGAGTCCTCATCTTGGAAAAGAGTAATATAGGGAAAGTGAGTGAGGAAGGAGTATTTTCTGTTGCACTGTAAGAATGAGGAGACACTCTATAAATGTTTGTCTCACGATTTAAGAAAAAAATGAAGAAGATAAGAAAGAGAACATTTGTTTTTCTCTTAATGCATGTATTAATCGTGAGAGTCACCACCACAGGATACTGTGGAGGCCAGAAACATAAGTTGGCTCAGAAAAACTTAACATGACTAAATGGACCATTGATCCAGAGATGTCTGTTGGAGATGCCATTCTGGGTGCGAACAGAGAATATTCTTCAACTGCCTATCAGAAGCTGAAAAGTTGTACAAGGAGAAGTTAACACTATACTTTCTTTAATTTGCCAGATAGAATCTTTAACACATTAAAATGAGGAAATACAAAATTACGTAAAGCAAGGTGCTAAAATTTTGAAAATACACAATGATATGTGAAAGAAATGCTGGTTCGTTGGCTAGTTGGCAATAAGGAGGAACGCTCAGGTTTGCATCCGCAGCAACGCCAGCATGTTTAGTGAGACCTCTAGTGATCTTCCGAGTAACTGTAGCTGCCGTCACAGTCAGAATCTGCCCTGACACGAGATTGTCATTTGCACAATTAAATTTAGGTTTTGCAAGAGGCACAGAGCACATACTGGTGCAGATCGTTTCCCAGAACCCCCTGGAAGGTTTTGAATTAAATACAACAGTATTCCGTCCTGCTTGGCTGAAGGCAGGATACAGAAGGTTTATACATAATGTTATAGTTCTAGGATTAGTTATTTTGCGTCTCTAGCTTCAGTTTATTGATGGGAATAGTAACTAAAATTAAGAAATTTCTATATGTAAATAAGTTGTAGCTCAAGACGTGCTTCAGTTGATTTAACCAAATACTTAAGATAACTCTCTCAACTCAGCATTTGTCATCTATTTGAATGTACATCACTTTATATTTGAGCTTTTTGGAGTCATCCAGTTCTTACTAAAGGATATTCCACTATGGGAAGAAAGTTGGAATAAAATAAGAACTTAATCTGCTTCAACTAGGATAGCTATGTGGTGCTTTCTGTGAAAATTCCGAAAGGTTTTAGGCAACAATTGTAGAATCCATAATAGGCTTGAAAAATTATGTGGTTTTTTCTTCATGTAAGTTTGATGGCTTAATGATATCAATTTAAACACAAATAATATAACTTCTTTGATAGAAGTTATTCCTGTAGGTCATTACAATGCTTTGCCAGGGATTTTAGACCAGAATATTTTCTTACCACATTGATGTCTAAAATCTGTAAAGAAAACAAGACTGTTGCATCTCTCAAGGGATGGTGAGGGAGAGGGAAAGGTGCCAGTTCTGTGTATACTGCTTGACTGAATACTGCTTTCTTTCTAGTATTCTGGTCTAATTCAAAGGAGTTGTAATAAATTGTTAGCAACAGTGAGGCTTCATACAGTATATCTATTATTGTTTGAACATCACCTTTGAAAAGTCTTTTTCAGTGAGCTACTTAGACTCTTCAGATAATGCACTAAATTTATATAATTTCAGCTTCTGTTCTATACCTATTTTGATACTGGGAAATTTTTAATCTATACACAGGGCAAATTGATACTACATCTTTTAATTTTATTGAAAGTGAGTTTAAAAAATATGAGAGTGTCTATTATCAATAATTTCTGTGTTTCTGACAGAATTCCGACCAGAAGTGATACTGATAAAGTAAATAAGTGCCCAACTCTGAATGATAAGCAAAACAACAGGTATGAGTTTTGGAAACATTATCATCTAAATATTATGTATTATAATTTATCATTTATCATGCATTATCATAACTTTAGAATACATGTACATACCAAGAATATATAGAGAAATTACTTGTATGGAATATGGCCTAATGGTTGTCTTCATTTCGTCACCTGACAGCTGGAATGTAGACTCTATATTCAGATTACCACAGACTTTTTATAGCCAGTGAGGAGAAAAAGGGTCTTTTGGAGGACAATTCCTCTGGTGTTTCTCAGATATTTTTTTTAGAGTAAGAGGAATTTTCCTTAAAAAAGCCTATTTCTCCACACAGATTAAAAGAGAGACCAGCTCATATTACACATTTGCTCAGCATAGTGATTGTTTAAAAAGTTACAATATTTTAAACACAAGAAGAAGAAAGAATCAGAGTGTTTCTAAAAGTGTAGGTATGTTCTAGAGCTCTAGATCTGTCTGCACAAAGTCTACCAAATACAATACATAGTTCTGAGGGAGAAAATTCTAATCAATGTTTTCAGTGGAAAATACCATTGTACATTGCCAGTGGAAAACTTGGGTACCAGAACATAAAAAATAATTTTTTGACAGGCTGATTTTTCCAGTAGAAAACTTTTCTTTTGTCAGAACGTCAGTCTTTTTTAAACAAGAGTTTTAATTAAGAATAAGTTAGCACTACATTTTTGACATGTTATTAAAATAGTTGTTATTATTCAGAGGTGGCCACTTTATATTTGTAATATGATTACACAACACCGTAAAAATATTTTCTAAAGAACTTACAGCTATTAACTAACTGAAATTTTTATTAAAGAAAGTCAGAAGATCTCAGTCACCATATTTATAAATGCAAAGGGACAAATACATCACTTTCTGCCTTCATCAATGTCAGCAGAGTTCTATCAGTAATAAGTTACACAGAATATATTTGCTAAAGAGCACAGCAATTCAAAAAGTCATCTTGTGAAGAGCTGAGATATTGCTCTGAAGAGCAAATGAATACCTCTGGCATTTAAAGTTCAACAGAGGTCATTCTTTCAAATTATGGTTTTGCACCACTATGTGGTAAATCATGGTGATGATGACACATGAAGCATCATATAAACTGGATTTTATGTTATTTTGTCTGGAGATGGTTTTTTAACAGACCAACCATGAATTCTGAAGTGGGTCTTAAGTGACATTTCAATTGTATAAATATTTTTTCCTTCCAGAGAGCAATAAAATGATTTGTAAAGCTCTAAAGCTCTATACTTCAATTACTATAATTGAGTTGCAGAGAATAAGACAATAACTTTTTGATAAATTTTACGAAAAAAATCACTGTCTTGGATATTATATAGTTTAGGAGTATGAGGAATACCATCTCCTTTACAGGTATATCATAACATTGAGCAGCTTACTTGAATAAGAAACATAAAATTTAAAGTATGAAAAATAAAGATTTTAAATATTGTACTGATTGGAGACTAAAGCATAGGTACAGAAGTCAAGATTTTAAGAAGTCAGAAATTACTTTGGTTATCAAGTAAAAATGCAGCTGTTCTCCAAACATCAGAATCCCTTAGTGTCCCAAATTCTGTATTCTTTGAGGTATTTCCAAAATTTCAGTTGGCATGTAGAAATATAGTTATACGATTTACCATACACAGATTCTGATATTTTTTATCATTTAAAATGATACTCCTGTTGAAGATTAATGAATTAAGTATATTTCCTTAACAGGCAATCTTGGACTCCTAATGCAGCACTCACAAACACTGCTGCCACTTCTTCAATCAAGAAAAAGAGGTATTCATAGCCACCATTGCTTGGTTGCTAGAGGATATATAGCACTGTATTAAGCCTCAGTAATTTATCACAATTACATAAAAAAACATTACCAGCTTTCTCCTCCAGCCCACTCAAGTTCCTCAGCAAGCTTCAAGAATTAAACTTTTGCACACTCTGGCTTTTTCCTTGGGAGTTAAAATGTTGCTTTTGTAGAGCCAGTTTCGTGAGCCCAGTGGACACGGCACAACTGGTGCTAACTCTTTGCTGCGGCCCCTAACTCAGCTATTTCAGTGTCATACGCATTTTTAGTGTCTAAATTTAAAGCTCATTCTAATTGTGAAATCTCTGATGCCAAACTTGACCCTGTGCTGTTGCAGTAAATATGAACCACAGAGTTCCCTAAATGATATACAGCCACCTTTAAAAATCTGGATTTCAGATAGTATTTTCTGGGGAAGAATAAAAACGGTGTAGAACAAAGTAAATTTTTAATTTAAAATACACTGCTGGTGATAGCCATATTTTTCTGCATCCTTCCCAGCTGTAAATTCTGTTAATTTGTGATTTTTTTTCATATTTCATGCATAAAAATGTGATCATTAGAATTATGAATGCAGAAATTAAAATGTGATTGTTTCTATATTAATAGTCCTGCTTATTTGGTGGAAGTTTAAGGTGTTTTCAGTCCAGTAGTTCTCTTCAGGCTCTTTGAAGATACAGAAGGCCATCAATAAATTGAACTGTTCCTGTTGCAATTGTTTTTTCCTCACAAACAATTCCTGGATTGATATTTAGAGGGGGGGGAAAAGGAAAAAAAGGAACAGCTTGTTCTGTTTATGTAACCTGTAATAGTCTGAATTTGTTCCTTGGGTTGATACTTTACACCCTTTCCTTTGTGCTCTTTATCTGATTGTCCTTTCCAGGAATGATCCATTTATTTGTACCATTCAGATTGCAGAAAAGATTGACTAGACTCACAGAATACATTTTTTACAACAATAATTAAAATTAGTGTATTATTTCCTATTCCATTCTGTTGTATGTAAAAAAAATGGTCTAAAAAGTATATACATGCAGTGTTTCAAAATGCTGATCATTTAAGGAAAGTTCCAGGTATTTTTTTACACCACTTTTGACATTCTAACATTCACAGTGTGCTGTTCAGCATTAAACGAATACTCAAAAACTTATTTGTTAACATTGACAGGCAATCTTGGATGCCACCCCCTGTTTCGAGTACTAAGACCAAAACACAAGCAGTGGAAACCAGACAGTAAGTATGAATGATTACTAGTTATTTCCTAATTCTTGGCTAGAGCCAATTTTGAGAGTGAGACAACAGGGCAATTCTTTGATGGACTGAGTTTGATGTCTAAGATGCCCTGCAAAAAGAAGGCATCCCATGCCTAAGTACTTGTTTTTGCTCTTGGCAGCCTTATGCCCAGTGTTGACCGAAGTCTGAGTATATGAAGTGCCAGCAACTTGAGGTTACGTAAATGCCTCCAAAATTATTCTAACATGCTTGCATATTTTCTTCACGGTTTCCTTTTCAACTATTTCAGTTATTTTGCCTCAAGGAAAATCTGCTAAAGAGAGACTGGCCACAAGGGCAGGAATCTATTGGTGCCATTGGGGTTGACAGCCAGGGGCTAATCCTTGCCCCTTAACAGCATCAACAAAACCTCAAGATCTGCTTAGTCACCTGTCAGTTAAGTGTCTAAGAAATAGTTTAGAAGAAAAGATCACAATAAAGTTACTTGCAGATGAATGTTTAATATTTATTTCTGAAGTTGTGGTTGCTTTCTGGCAGACTAGAAAGAGAACAGAGAACGTTTCTTGGACCTATATCTAAAACCAGAATATGGATGGTTTAAATATTAATGAATGAACTTCCATGGTATTCTCTGCTTAGGTCCCCTATTGGCTCCAATATGGCCTTCTGTTTCCCTAGTTTTAATCCGGGAAACTTCCAACATGAGTCACGCATAGCAATGATGAGAATTAAATGAAACAGAAATGAATGGATACATTGTTGTGTTAGGTATAATCCTTGGTAGATTATTGCCCAGGGAGTTTATGGAATCTCTGTTACTGGAAGACTTCAAGGTGAACCCTTAAAACTAAATTTGTCAATTATTTTTAATCTTATGTGTTTACTACTTTCTATCTCTTTGGCCAAATAAACACTCTCTACCCAGCACAAAGATAGCTCATAGATGCTAAAATTTATTTTTTTTTTAAGTCAGTCTTTACTAGATGTTTTTAATATGCCCACTGTGATGAATTTATCTGGCTTCATTTCAATACCTTGCTAAGGTCATGGTAATTTTGAAAGCTTACGGTAAGATGCATCCTCTATATGCCGTCCACCCATCTTTCAATAGGAAGCTGGGATTCCTGTATTCTTCTCAACACTAATTAACCAGTTACTCCTCCAGTCTCATAGTTCAGAGAAGACTGAAATACAGGTATATTCTGTCTGAAGCTTTCATGTCCCTTCCTGGATCCTCTAACAATGATGTAATCAAGGACAGTTGGCTAAAAAGTCATGGACATTTAATGATTAATTGGTTTAATTTCTAAAAGTGCTTTTAAGATATGAAAGCTATTTCAACTGTGAATATTACTAATAATAGCCACCGAAGGAAAGCCTTTTATTTGCCTGTGAGTTTCAGGAAATAAAGCGCCATGCATAGATGCTAATATGCAGTTTTTAAAGGTCACCATCAGTCCTAAAGATTGAGTAAAGAGCTGTGTCTTATCTCCAAATCTGAGAACGGCTGACTGTTCTGCTATCCTCAGGAAGGGAGTTCAGTAATCATGGGTATGTGGGTTTTTTGGTCAGGGTTATTTATATACCAACACAATATACATGATAAATGTGATATGTAAGCTTCTAGAGTTCTTTGCCTCAGTTCCCAGCTGATTAAGCATCCTTTACAGAACACTTAAAAGAAATTGCAGTTGGAGCTAAGACTATAAGCAGCTCACTGGAATTGAGTGTTTTGGTTGTGATTTTTATGCTGAAAACAAAACACTGTGAGTCAGAGTGACTGACCAGAGAATGTCAACTGAGGAATGATTATCTTAGTAACATATCAAGAATGTGATTAAAACTTGGTATTATGCTGCTTGGCTTAAACATCTTGGAAGGAAGGAAAAGTAAAATTAATTGCTGTTGATTCACCTAAATCTTGCAAAGTGCCTCAATACTAGCATTTTGCATTCCGAAATACTAGCTACTTGGTTTCTGAAATGGTTACTCTGTTCTTTCTCTAGCACCACTTCAGGAAATTCAGAGGCTCAAACAAGGTACGTCTTGCTTACTTTGCTTCTTAGTAGATTTAGAAATGTAACACACTTCTATGCATAAACCTTGAGTATTATTTTAGATTTATTTAAAATATCATCATCACAGCTGGGCTTCGCGAACGAAGATTTGGGAAGGGCTCTACCCACGTTTGTTGCAAGCGTGTTGGTGGCTGAAAAGGCCAATACAAGACAGGCATGTCCGGTTGCAAAAGGCACAGCAGAAAGACTCCTTAGATGGTGTATTCTGCAAGACACGATTCTTTCTGCGTTGCCTTTTCTCCTCAAGGGTGATCCTGCGTGCTTACTCAAAAGCATCAGCAGCGTTATAGATGGTGTGTCTCCAAATTGGCCTCCCGATTGGAGGCCAGAGTAGACCAGTTATGGTGATCAATATGGCCAAGGCTGAGATGTTGTTTCAGGGAGTCCTTGTATTTTTCTTTGGAGCTCCTCTCTTGCGGCAGCCGGAGGCAAGTTCACCATAAAGCAGGATCTTAGGGAGGCGGTGGTCCTTCATCCTGGAGATGTGCCCTGCCCAGCGCAGCTGTGTTCTCATTAACATGGCAATCAATGCTAGTGACTGCTGCTTGTTCTAGAACAGATGTATTAATTATTAATACAGATGTATTGATTAAAATATAAACACTGTATAATTTACCAGGAAGGGTTCCTCTATAGTCCATGTCACAGAAGGGCATGAAGAAGACTTCCTTGCAGAAAAGCAATTATTTTCATTTGCTTAAAACATTTAATTGGATATTTATTCAAATTGAAAAAACAACTGTAACTCCATAAAAATTAAAAACTGCTTCACAAATTTAGTTCCACGGCTACATATGTTGCAAGACACTATGAATAAAGTGAAGAAAGTGGTAAATTTGCATAAGCAAAAGCTTGTAATAGATGGCATTAACATAAGATGAATTGAGGTAAAGTACTCCAAACTTATTTGAGTGTCTAATTTATTTAAATAATTCATTAATTAAATGTATATTTTATATGATCTAAATTAAGAAAAGATTACTTAACCAACCTGCAATTTCATGGTTTATAATTAAGACAGCTACACAGCTTGTCATGGTTTAGTTGCCATACTAATAGAAAAATTTTCTGAAGGAGCAGATAGCCCTCACTAACTGCATCAGCCACCTTTCTTATAATTTCTTATAATTTAAGTATTCCTGTAGTGACCAATCTGATTGTCACATAAATAAATAAAAATAGGAAAGTGTAATTGTTTACTTATTTAGCTTTTAAAAAATCAGTACTTTGTTAGTTAAGCAAAAGTTTTGTCTTTACTAAATAAGTAAAATTTATTTATTAGGTAGGAGAAAAGGATCTAGAAGTTCCTTTATTGCTAAAATAATTTTGAAATAGTAAAGAAATGGCAGTCAACTCTTACATCCATACTAGCAAAACAGTAACTCTTGGGATACTAATTATTCAAAAGGCTCAGTGGATGCAGTAATCTAGTGAACTAAAGCATTACATAGCTCTTTATATATTTATTTTTATATATGTATAATTCTTTATACACATATTTTATATATATACTATATATTAAAGAAAAAAAGAGAAAAATGTCTCAAAGAAAATGCAAACTCACTCACAATAATAAACCATTTCATAGAATCATAGAATGCTTTGAGTTGGAAGAGGATCTTGAAGAACATCTAGTTCCAACTCCCCTGCTATGGGCAGGGACACCTTCCACTAGACCAAGTTGCTCAGAGCCCCATCTAGCCTGGCCTTGAACACCTCCAGGGATGGGGTATCCACAATTTCACTGGGTAACCTGTTCAAGTGCTTCACCACCCTCTCAGTAAAGACTTTTTTCCTAATATATAACCTGAACCCACTCTTTTTCCATTTGAACCCACTTCCCCTTGTCTTGTACCTTCAGCATGTTTGCACCATTTCTATTGCAGGGCTGCTCTTTCATCAGAACAGGTGACCCTTCAGAAATCAAAGACCGATGTGGACGTTCAAGCTATAGCAAGGTAACATAAAAACAATATTTTGATTAGCATTGATAAATGTGATAGTAAGTACTCAAATTGTTTTATTACTCTATTTGATATCTCATTTGGACATGTGTGTGATTAATGCAGCATTTATCTAGTCCTAACCATTGACCTGGAAGTACAAACTTTGAGTTCCATTTCATTGACTTGCTAACTTATTCCAGGTGTTCCATTTTTTAATCTTTTGGTCTGTTTAGCCTTCATTTTGAAAAGCAGAATATAGATAGTTGCTGCAAATGTTTGGAAACAGAAAAATTAGAGTAGTATGATTATACAGTGTATTTTCTTTGCTCTTCAATACCTTGTGGGAGAGATAATAACTACACATTACTATGTATATAAAAACACCCCAACTCATGCACTGCAGTGTTAACATTTTAAATAGTAAAAACCCAACATATAGATTTAGTGTGACAAAATTAGTACATTTAAACAGATGGACTTGTTCTTGTGGTATAAGTTAGATGGCATATGTACTAATCTTGGAAAGAGTATAGAATACCAGAAACTTATAGGTGGAAAAGACAGAGACTCTTTTTAACTAAAATTTCAGCAAATTGTAAGATTCTGTACTGATGGAGATGTTATGCTTTTCAAAACAATCAGCAATAACTGCCTCACCCCTGGAAATGTTCAAGGCCATGGGACTCTAAGCAACCTGCTCTTGTGAAAGCTGTCCCTGTCCATGGCAAAGGGGTTAGAACCAGGTGATCTTTAAGTTCCCTTTCAACTCAAGCCATTCTATGATTCTATGATTCTATAAGCACTCAAAAATTTTTATTCTGTGACCTTGAACAGAATAAAAGGCCTGAATATGCAATTAAAAATTGAATTAATTAGAAACAGATTTCTAGATATGCACTGAGAATTATAGTAGCTCATTTTGCCATTTTTACTTAGAAATATGAAATGGTTCAGTCACTAAAATTAGTTTAAATTAACTAATTTTAATTAGTTTGATTCATAAAGTTCAGTTTAGTGGGGTCTAAAGCTATAGTGTATACTATTTCGAATTGTGTTTCCCTTGCCCAAAGTCCTCAGTATGTAAAATCAGTACGAAATTACTAAGAAAGCATCCAAAAGATGCCTGAGAGCGTAATCCCTAGAAAACAAGCAATGTTTCACTGAAACATTTTCCTATTAACAAATGTGGGGCATCTTAGAGAATTAAATATGCCACTGTATTAACTAGGGGAGTCACAGCCATTCTTCACTCTTAAAGGATTTTTAAGGTCTTCCTTAATCCTCACCCTCAATCAGTTCACATTCATCACCCCCTGGTTGCTCTCATTACCACATCAAGCTCTGTATTCCTGTCCCTTCATTGGTGAAGAGCTGGAGGAATATTTTACTGGTCTACAAGTTTCTATGGCAACATTGCACTGCTATTTGTGTCAGTATATAAACTGTAAGTAGTCTGTAATCTTAGTGGGCAAAATTCAGCCCTCTCTACTGCTGCTATTAATTCCTTTACATTTGGCTGGTGATTCAGATGTCATCCATCTGCTGCTGCTGTGTTAACTTCACAAAACTACAGATTTTTGTTAAATCAGTGCTAACCAAAAATGTATTAATCAGCTGTCAGCAGAAGTGCTGTTTTTCTATTAAAAATGTCATAAAAATACTACATTTTTTGCAAAAGTGGTTGTGTCACACAGGGGAAGTACATATGAAGAGTATGTATGGTAACATCAATTTTTAGTAGAATACCATTTTAACTTACATACATTAGTTTCCTATATTTTTACTTTGAATGGAAACATTTTCAGGTCATGCTTTTAAAACTCATACTTAATTGATTACTTGTTTTCCACTCAGGATTCTGATAGGGATGTTAAAGGAATAATGAATTAATTTCAGTATAAAATAAGCAGAAAATGGTAATTAGCTTTCTATCAAACTGATCAGTGATACAAGGAAAATCTTTTAGAAGGGATTTAACCTGAAAAGGATGTCAGATACTATCTCTTTTGGTTAAAAGTTTAAGCTTCATTGTGTAGTGTTCTATGTAAGGCCTAACATTGATTCTGTTAATGTAAAAAGCAATTTTGCATTTTTTCATGGACAACAGTTAAATGTGGCATCCATCTAAAAACACAGAGTATACAATAATGTATATATCTATCTCATATCTAGAGGCATGGACATATGGACCTCCACCTCTTGGATATGATTAACAGAACGAAAAAGGCATCTTATGATTAGTTAGGGCATTTACAGATACCTTAGACAGCATAAGTAGGCTAGAACACAGAAAAAATAAAGATAACTACTGCCTAATAATTGTGCATTTTTCAGAGCATAATAGGTCAAATCAGGTCTATTGGTATCACACAAATGCAGCAGCAGATGAGCACTACACTGCCTACATACAGAGACATTTTCCTGAGTTCTTCAATGGGCCTTTTATTCATTGCTTATCAGGTTCTTTTTTGAGTTGTATTTCCACTTCAGGGAAGATTCAACCTTCTCACTCTGCATTTTTCCACTACGTAATTGTAGCAACCATCAACTGCAGGTGTTTAAAAGCCAGACTTTTTTGAAGAACTATGTTCAGTAGAAAATGTTGTTAAACCACTTCCAACACCCTGAGGGTGTTTAAGTCAATCTTTCATTAATGATTACAGTTAGGGTGCAAAAATGTGTATTTCTATCAAATGCTTTTATAATGGGGCTCACTTGTATTCAGCTGCACTGCTTCCTTGCGTATATATATGCACACACCCCATTACAGAAACCAATGTATTTGTCACAGTGGGCCACATTTATCAGGGCATTAACAAAGGTATTAACACCAAAAGATGCAGAATAACCAAAAAGCCATATTTCCAAGAGTTCATAAATAGTAGAAGTGATGAATTTGTCTTTTATTTTGCATAGATATATCAGAATTCATGTTGGACATACTTGAGGAGAAGCTTGAGGTGATCGTAAGGGCGGCTATATAAGAAATTAGAGAAAGATCCCACTCAGCTCGTAAAGCATCTGTGGTGAGATTCTCTGCTATCAGCAAATGACTATTATTCTCTAGGGACACAAGGCATATCGTAGAAACTTTTACATAAGCATATCTTTTTGATATGCCATCTACAGCAGTTAGGTTGAAGAAAATGTTTTAGCTGTGTATTTGTGTGTATGTGGGTGAGAGAGGCAATTTCTAGGGAACAGAAACAAGGAACTAGAATATTTTTTTCTGACATAATTAAGGTAATTCTATATTCTTGCTCCTGTACAGGGTTTTCCTGTACTGTATAGAGTAATTAAATATCATTACTCTTGTCAGATAATAGAAAATCTAGACAATGCTGTAAATTTGTTTGTATTTTGCTCCTATTTCATGATATTCCTATTTAACTCGAGGTGTGTTGCCAGTTTTCATGGTAATTGATTGTGAAGGAATGACAAATTATTTACCTGTGCTTAAATTAACTCTTGTAACAAGGACACACATTTCTATGTCTATCAACATCTGGAACTTTGAAAAGTGGAAAAAAAATAAGAAACAGGAGTGTTTTTCCAAATTATTAAGAAAAAGAGTAAACTGTTATCAACTTGGAATTTTCCAAACCAATGGAATTAAAACCATCATGTCAGGTCTCCTAAATGAACATTTATTGATAAAACTATTCCTGTTCTAGAGTTGCATAAAGCAGAAAAGTGAGAGAACATGTACGTGCATTTTGAGGCATTGGCCAATTATGTGTTCCCATTGCACAAAAAAGAGAAAACTGCTCTAGTGAGAGAGATAGTTGCTGTCCCTGAAAGCGTTCAAGACCAGGTTTGATGGGGCTCTGAGCAACTTGGTCTAGTGGAAGGTGCCCCTGCACATGGCAGGCATGTTGGAACTAGACAATTTTTAAGGTCTCTTTCAACCCAAACCATTCTATGACACAGGCAATTCCAAAGAGCCACTAGAAATGTCCTGAACAATTACCTTCGGTTGAACTAAAGTTTAGATGACCAAAATTTGAAGGCGTGGCTCCCATACCAGTAATTCCTGTGTGACTTTTCCTTTGGGATGTCTTTTTATTTGCTTTCACTTTTTATCTAGACCTTCTGGAGACCTCTAAAATGTTCTGAAGGACACCTGTGTCCCTCAAAAAATGCTGGAAGCAAGGATGCTAAAACAGAAGTCATATACACTCACAATTCAGTAGCTTGCTTTGGCTACAATGACAATTGTTTCTTTATGGTGAAGTGGCTTTACACTTTCTAAATTGTTTTTGATAGTACAAATCAATACAGTCATTTTTGATTATACATTTTTGCATTTCAGCAGAGGGCTTCCAAGTGACAGGCACCTTCTGTCTCTCAATTCTGACAGATTCAGCATTCACTGGAATGCTGGTTTGCAGCTTTTCTGCACGTTGATACAAACAACTCACTGTTGCACAGCTTATGTGAAGAGATCCAAGCCCATTATTCACAACTGAAAAGTTAATACAGTGTTTACAGGGTCATACATACCCTTCAAGCAAAATGGAATAAGTTATTGTCCTTTTCCAGTAATCTTTCCCAGTCTACCTTCTATGAAACATTTTGATCAACAGCTTCTTCCTTTGTATTTAACTCCAAAATCCTCTGGGCTAAGAATTACACTGGTTTTGGCACAGTATAAGCTAGCTTTCACAGTTGACTGCAAGCTTCTTCTGTTCTTTCATCCTCAGCTGTTATTGATGAAAGGTCTGAATGAGGGCTCCTGGCACTGATCAGCGAGCATAGCAATGTGGAAGGAAATGCACCCTGCTTCAGAATAAATGCCAATCTTTTCTCAAAGAACTCCTTTATTCGTTCCCAGTTATATATGACAAAAGCCTGATACAGGGACAGTAACACAGCCATAACAGCAGATCAAAATTCAGCTGGGCCTACGATGTTAAACTTTATCCAGTAAGATGCCTGACACATTTAGTATACTCTACACCAACTCTTTTAGTTCAGAGTTGGAAGGTCCACTTGGCAATTGATTGTTTTTG